CATCCATGATTTGATACTTTTGACTTTTCAAAAGTTGATAATCCTGCTGCGAAAGATTTGGCAATTCATTTATCTAAGCTACATGCAATGATGAAGGCATAGTTAAAAGAGGCTCAAGAACAACAAAAGGTCAATGTGGATGTCTATCGAAAGGAACAACCATCATTCGTCTTAGGTGATAAGGTATGGCTACTTTGTCGCAATATCAAGACCACTCGTCCTTGTGACAAGTTGGACTATCAAAGACTGGGACCATTTTCTATTTCTGCACAAATCAATCCAGTTGCATATTGTTTACATCTACCGGAGTCAATGAAAATCCATCCAATATTCCACGTATCTCTTCTTGAACCATACAAGACAGTGGACATACCAAGAAGACGATAAGCTCCACCTCCTCTTATAGAAGTAGACAATAATGAAGAGTTTGAAATAGAAGAAGTCTTAGATTCAAGGTGGCGCCGAAATAAATTAGAATATCTTGTCTATTGGTGCGGATATGGTATTAGTGAATGCACATGGGAGCCAATAAAGAATCTTGTAAATGCAACAAAGACGGTGGAGGCTTTTCATCGACAACATCCATCAAAATCAAGATAAAAACCTTCTTTATAAAAGAAACAACATTTAGGCAAGATAACATTCTATTTTCAATTCTTGTTCGTAGCTTCTTTGTAGTAGTGACGCTGAGGAGATGGAGAACCAACAACTAGCAAATTCGACTCAAGAGCCTTCATTTGTTGACCTATCAAACGAGACATTACGATTGTCACAACCTTCAAGACGACGCAATCGAGATGAAGATCTTCAAGAATGTCATGTTCTTCCTCGAATAGATGGCGAGATACAACGCGTTTGGTATCACGATTTGGGAAGGGACTCCCGATATTTGGTGATTGTGCTAGAGATAGGAACAACTCCTGACGGTGTTCCAAATATTCTATTCGAAGGAAGTTATGAAGGTCTCAACAATGATCAAATAACTGGGTGGTCTTCCCACCCTGGTATGGAACACTACCGATGGTTGAGAGGCCCTATCAATCATCTTCGAAGAAAACAAAGATCAAAGTATGTGGTGAATATAATTTGTCGCATCATAGATTTCCTCAACATATGATGATCGCTCCTCGTGGAACTCGTCCCTAGAAGGGGGGATAATGTCACGGACATAATCATGTAAGCTAGTAGTTATATATACAAATAGGTAGAAGTAAGTAAAAGTAGATAAAAGTAAGTTAATTCTATAGTATTTAATATGGAAGCTTTCTAGAAGCTTCATAGACGTTGCTTTGACTTCATAGGTGTCTTTAATTGACTTTTTGGATTAGAAACGTGGTCAATAAGTTGGCCATGTACCACACATGTTGTTAGCTTGAAGACCAAGTTAACTATGTGGCCCACACGTAGAAAAACTTGCCTTGTAAGTCAAGGCATGTGTCCTACAAAGTCAACACATATTAGAGGTCCTATAGAACGTCACCACGTAGCCCCTAGTTTGATAGTATATATAGAGACAAGAGTGAAGGCTTCTTCACTCTTGTCAACTCCTTTCTTGCTTTTAGTCTAGTTTCAAGGGTCTCTAGTTTTCTTGTCTTTTGGCAATAGCCATTCTAGTTTCTCTTTCAATATATATCTTTGTTTATATATCTTTTGTTACGTCTCTTTGAGTGAAGGCTCACTTGTCTGAATTGTTTTTTCATCGAGTTCTTGTCCTTGACAGAAGATGATATACTTGATGATATTGAAGAATTGATACTTAATTCTCCAACATGAATTTTCTCCTAGTACAATCTACACTACTAGATATGCTTATATTGATGACATCCATGAGAAGTATAAAACCTTCTAATAGACTAAAGAATAATTAGTTGCTAAGCATTGAAGTAGAAACAAATCTAAGTAATTATGAGAAAGCTATTAAACTACTTCTATAGAAAGCTATTATTGCTCAGGAAGTTGATTCAATTTGAAAGAATGGCACATGGATTATTACTAATCTTCCACTATATAAGAAACTTATACATGAAAAATAGTTTTTTAAAATTAAATTAGTGCAGAAGAAAAAATTGGGAAGTTGAAAGCAAAAATTATAGTACATGGATTTTGAACAAAATAAGGAAGAACATTACTTTGAATCTTTGTTCCAATAATTAGATGGAATACTAATTATATTATCATAGCTTTTACAACAAAGAATGATTATGTGATACATCATCTTTTTGTCAAAATTGCTTTCTTAAACAATTTTATTGATGAGGAAGTCTATGTAAGTATACCACTTGGTTTCAAGGAACCACATTCTAAAGATAAAGTTTGTAAGTTAGTTCAAGCTTTGTATACTTTTAAGCAATCTCTAAGATCATGGTATGGATAGATGTATGAATATTTTACAAGTAATGGATTTTAGAGATCAACAACAAACCACAATATTTATTTTGTAGTAAAAAATAGACTATATACTATTTTATTGTTGTAGGTGGATGATTTTATAATTACTAAAAATAAAAAGTAAGGTATTGTAGCTATTGAAAGGGCCTTGCTATTTAAGTTTAAAATGACACAACTTGGATTAGTATAGATTTATCTTAAAACAATGTTCAAGAAGAATAAATATGAAACTCACTTATATCAGATTAGCTATATTGACATGATTTTTAATAGATTTAGAATAATTGATTACAACAAAGACTTAGTTCTTATGAGTAATAATACCAAGCTATAAATAGAAATAAACAATGAACTTAAAGAGTCACAAGAATATAAATCATTAGTAGATAGCTTAATATTTCTTACAAATGTATCAAGACCAAATATTAGCTTTGATGTAAGCTACCTCAGTTGCTTTATGGTGAATCTACAAATAGGTCACATAAAATCAAGAAAGTATATTTTATGCTACTTAAAGACTACCAATAACTTTAGATTATTATTTTTAGTGGAAAAAAATGGAACATTCATAGCTTTTACAAATGCTAATTGAATTAGAGATATTAACAACAAAAGATTGATTTTGGATCTTTTATACAAAATTCGGAGTGCACTTATTGATTCAAGTAGTAAGCTTCAAACTACTATTGCTATGTGTACAATTGAAGCACAATATTGTATGCTATCAAAAGAAGCAAAAGAAATAATTTGGATATAAAGGCTACTCAATGAACTTAACATTTTTTGCTATGGATTAATACAAATTTTGACTAAAAAATCAAAGAAGTGTGAGACTTGTTTTCAATCCAATCATGCATGCTTGAATAAAGTACATAGAGATTTACAATCACTTTATTAGAAAGAAAGCAAGACTTAGAGAAGTCAAAGTTGGATATATTTCTTATGCTTTGCAATAGACAAATATTTTTATCAAGCCTCTTAATAATATAAGATTAAGCATTTTGTATGATGTGATTGAGGTAAAATTTGTCTCTCTATCTTCTTAAAATAATACCATCTCCTATGTTATTCTACTAAAACATCTTATTAAATCTTAATTTTTTCTATGATGTTCTTTTGTTAAAATATAGCACTTTGTATATACTTTCTTTGTTTTTTGTTGATACTATTATAAAGTTGAAATAATTATCTTTTAAATAAATCACTAAAGATTTAGGTCTTAAATTTTTCATTCTTATAGTTTTTAAATATACAAGAGTATCTAATTTTATAAATTTTAAGATCTCCGAACTATTAGAAGATTCTACTAATTATTTCTATGATTTGCTTAATTCTTGTAGTTTCATAATAAAAAAACAGATTGTTTAAATCTAATAACCTACCAAATATTTAAGGCTTAGTATGGAATCATGAAGTCAAGGAAGTAGCAAGCTTGAAGAAGAAGATGCCACATTTGAGTTAGTCAAAAATGAAGACTTGGAGCAATGCCAGAATTGTGCCAAAGGATTTCAAAAGTATATTCCAAAAATTTCTTTGACTGAGATAGAGCATTCAAGAACTCATCATCTTCTTCATCTTCTAGTGTTGGATTCTTGGAATGGTGTAAAGATTTTTTGAGTAACTTATATAAGTGACTCATGAGGTAGTCACAACCACAACAAAGGGCTATGAAGAGGAACTATAGTCCTAACAACAAAACATCCTACTACAAATATTGTTAGTCCAAATATTATTGACAAAATAAAACTGCTATGCAGTACTTATTAAATAATAACAAAACTCTTACTATGAAGTACTTATTAAATAACAACAAAACTCTTATTATGAAGTACTTATTAAATAAAAACAAAACTCTTATCGTAGACAAGTGTTCTATTTGATTGCAAAGAAGATCAACTGTTGCCACAAGAGGGACAAATGGATATCTCGACATGACAACTAAGTCTGTACGCTCAAGAGGAAGTGTTGACATAATATTACCGTTTAGACTACTTGCTGTAGATGATTGAATTGAGTAGCATATTAATAGATCTTTGGATAAAACCAAGATTGCATGTTCATATGGTGATTATACATAAATAACAAGGGAACCATGAGAATGACATGAAGAAGGAGCAGTTTGCTATTACTGCCTGGAATGTATTACCCTCACTGTCAATACAATCTCACTCATTTGTTTAATGTTTCCACCAGGAAGGTGTCTCACTTGTGCCTGAGCTCGGCTTTCATCTTTTGGTGGGACGTGGATCTCATAACATTGCAACAGAACAGTTTGGCTGTGGCGAGTTTGGGTGGGAAAGGATGCCTTGATTTGAGCTAGTGCCTGCAGAAGTCAGTCGAACAATCGTCCATAGTTCATTAGTTGGGTTTGAATGTGAATCTAGCACTTCGATCACCAATCCTGGAAGCTTCAAGACGTTTGGGGATTAAAATGCTGTGCGTGCACAATGTAGACTGGGCAGGCGCAAACGCCAGGATGACCTGCTCCTAACGTTGGACGTGTCATAAGATTCATGTCCATATCCGAAACTTGAATGATAAAAACCCAGTTCTGAAAGAACAGTGATACAGATATAAGTTCTCGAAGTGATAACCTGAGGATGGCAAAAAAAAAAAAAAGAAAAAAAAAGGAAAAAAAAAAACTGAAGACATTACTTATCAGCGAAAGCTGTAGGCCAGACAATGAGAGCAGTGATGACAACTTCCCAGCTCTGAAACTCCAGGCGGACTGTCAGCGAAGTCAGAAGGGCATCAAAGTTAAAGAAAGATAGCCCCACAAATTTTCAGTTCCAGTCTGCTAATAATCTAACCGCCTTTATGTAATTCTTCACATAAAATAATTAGAAAGGAGCCCCCCAGTTGTTGCAAGTTACGATTATGGCACGGGGCTTTCTACTGAATGCTGTGCGTTTGCAACAAAGGGGAACGATCACGCTGATATGGAGGCAATGGAATCAGATGCTCCACAACATCCCAGGAGTGTGCTACTTTGTATCCCCATCAAGTTCTCCACCTCATGCCTCCTACAGAATTTCTGCGCGCAGGTGATTCAGCTCCAGTGTCGGCTCCCCGAGCTAGCTTTTCTTTCAAAACTCCCGCCTTTGGGCTCGGACTTCCTCGGTTCTGCATCAACAACAGGCATTAACAGCATTTACGTCCTAGTGTTCGACAGATTCTCTTAATCTACGTTAATTGAAAGCTTGGACACACTAGCTTGTGAAAGAGAATAAGCACAATTGGTGTCGGGTTAGTGAGGATACCTGGAAAGTGGAGCTCTTTCGTGTGCCGAGGGTGGTATTGGGAGAATTAGTTCCCTTGCTTGGAGTTGTACCCCCAATAGAATATCGATTCAGTGGCCTGCCTGGCGATTCTGGGGTATCAGGCGTTCTTGTCTTAGGATTGCTAGAAGACCGAAATTTCGCTCTTGCAGATTCAGTTGCTGCCATATAGCGGCATGTCGGTCGCTTGCTTGGGATGGGGCTATCTCCGTTTTCTCCGACCTTCTCTCCCTTCTTCAACTTGCTGTCACCGTTTTCCTGGTGTCTATTGCTGGGGTGTCCATCGACGACATCTACACAAATACAGCAACCCTTGTGATTAAGACTGCAAGTATAGGTAGAAAAAATACGAAAAAAACAATAGTGATGTCTTCTGAAATGTGAGTTGCGAATTGTAACGTTCTTTCTTGGGAAATTCACCTTCAAGGGAAAGGACGTGATTACTTGAGGAGGAATCTTTGGCACTTGGTGCGTCTTGGCTAAGTTGATGCGCACCATTTGCAGCTGATAAGCTGTCGCTATGATTCTCTCCATTCGATTCTCCATTGGACTCTCTGTTCGTCTCTAATCCATTATCACTGTGAGATTCTTGCAAGCCCAAACGTTTCATAGCCACAGATGGATCGTCTCCAGCGGAATCCAAACTTTGCGGCTTTTCTGGCTCGTGAAGTGATGCATCTGATGCTTGGGGTGAAGGAGGTACAGGTATTGATTCAGCTTCTGAGGCTGCAGGAGATGGTTTCTGAGTCTCTGGAGGTGTCGGCTCCAGGAGCTGGGCGGGTGTGTCTTCTTCCACGCATGGATGGGTAGGCACTTCAATGGGCGGTGGTTTTGAAATAGTGCGATTACTATGCGAAGCCGGAGTCGATGCTGGTAGAGGAGGAGGAGGTAATGGAGCGGGCACAGGTGCACCCCATTCCGCTACAATACATTCTGGCTCTTTCTTTTCGGACAATGGGGCCAACGAGCTTGGAGATCTGGCAGCAGCTTCTTTCTTCTCGAACATGGAGCTTGGAGATAATCTGGTAGATTCCTTCTTCTCAGACAAGGGGCTCAAAATTCCGACGGGTTTTTTCTTCTCTGATGAGGGACTTGAAGCTTTAACAAGTTCTTTCTTCTCCGAAGAGGGGCTTAAAGCCCTAACAGCTTCTTTCATCTCGGACAAGAGGGTTGAAGGTCTTCCATTCAGGGGTTCCTTCTTCTCAGACAAGGGGCTCGAAGGGGACCCAGACTTGGCGGGCGACGAGTTGGAGACGTAGTCCTCATGAAACTTCACCTGTAAGGTATTGATATCAACCCCCTTCGTTGCATAATCCTTCGAATTTTTTCGTGATGGAACGATTTCGAAGAATTCTTTGGAATTCTTGGAATCCTTTGAGGTTTCGTTCGAGGACTTAGATTCTTTCAAGTCTTCAACATGACGTATTTCCCAAGGCCTGGCATTAGACCACAACTCCAGCCATTCCCAGCCCCAGTGCGGTTGGCCTGGGCCGCAATCAATGAACAACAAGCTTCGGTTTGGTACACTCCTCTTCAACTGCAACAAAGCTCCACATTGAGTCAGGGCTAAATCTGAACAGACTTCTGTGGGATCGAGTCAATGAATGAAAATATAATTTAAGAGAGAGTGCTTAACAGTGAACAGCACAGTTTGAATCTAGGGATACTAATTGTGAGCTACTTATGGCTCCACTCATATCCACTCATTTGTAAGCCAAATGACTAATCTTGAGCTTGTATTTGGTGGAAGTCGTGTACCTGTTGAGTCAAGAGATTTCCTGTGGGTAGCTTACGTTTGGTCGTCTCCTCTTCATCTCCACTTGTTTGAGTCTCTTGAATCGGTAGTTTACCTTTGCTTACAGTCTGAACAAAGGAGCGTTACAAACCGAGTTAGATATATACCCACACCTAGTAAATTGCTTCTAGATTTTGGAAAAGTTTTCTAAGAATCTGGTAGAAATGCTCAATTCTGACCACTGTGGACCATACCCCGTGTAAGCCACCACGAGAACTTAGCCGCCGCCTCTTTGATATTCGGCTTCGTACAGCCCTGCCATCTTTGGACATTCGAACAAGGCGTCCCCGGAAGACGGATTGTACACGCACAATTGCTTCCATTGTTTGTAATGTTGTGGCCGCTTGTTTGCGCACTTGATGCCCACGGACTAGTGCTTGAAGTGAGATCAATCCCTTCAGAGCCTATCGAGCAAAATAACCATACGATGTTAAGCAATTCTAGCTCCCCCAAGTTGAACACCATCAGTGGACTATGACGTGTTTTCACTGCAAATCTTCTGGATCTGGAAAATCATTTTGAAGGCTTATCTGATAAAGAAACATAAATCTTTGCAACATACCGCGGGATCTGAGAAGCGTTGCTTAATCCTGGCGGCCGCCTCCTCTTCTTCACTCAAAGTGCTGTCATCGTCGTCATCCTGTTGCTTCTGAACCTCGTGAACTTCTGCTTTAGTTTCTGCTTCTTCTTCTATCACGTTCTCCAATTCCTTGATGGGAAGTTTCACAGAAATAGTTGGATCTACAGCCTCTGGCATGGGTAATGGTTGTCCACGACTGTGCACGGGCTCAACATCGTCATGTGTGATAATTTCATACGATGGAAGTGGATGAAGTGCTGGTGCTTGATGTCGCACCGGTGAGAAGTCATGCTTGGTGAGGACTTCCTGGTCATCTACATCAACCCTCTGCAGACAAGCCCACAGCACGTTAACGGAAAATTTCACTAGCCACTTGGGTTCAAGTCAGTCTGGGTTTTTCAACAAACAGAAGAATTCTTTACTGAGCTACAGCTGTGCCTGTACAATTCACCTCAATGTTTAGGAGAGTCAACAGCAGGCCTTCAAGCATAATATTCTATTTAGCACCTTACACTAAACCTAGACACGTGAGCACCAAAACCTTACCACTTCCTGGTCTGGGGTGAGAGATCTCTCTTTGGAAGGTGAGCGGAAGGCCTTTTTTACAGCCTTTAACCATTTGGTAGTCTTGTTTGATTTCCCCATTGCACTGTACTTGCTGCTTCAACCTTCAGCCGCTTTCAAGAGCCTGTACAAAGTAATTGCCAAATTTTAGTTCCAATACAAGCCACGAAATCGGCGTAATCAGCAGTACTTCGCGAACAGAAAACCGTCCTTTGCTATACATCATTATCAAAGGTTTCGTTTGCCGAACGTAATTGGATGGTTTGAACCGCAGAAAATCAGAGATAAAACACCGAACATTCATATTAAGCGCATGAGACAAATTTCACGTTTGTACTCAATGGTCACCTAAATATAGAATTGAAAATGCTCCTTGATAAGAATGGAAATGAGGGTTTTCAGAAAAAAAATATTTTAGAGAAGTACTTCTTCACAGAAATTCTAGGATAAGTTGCCAAACGTTTACATTTAGTTTTGATGTCAGAATTCCAGCTTGTGCTTATCATTTGATTGGACCTTCCCTTCTGAAGGATATTTCTACCATCTGAAAAAAGACGTAACTTGGTCCACGCCTAGCCTTCTGAAGAGACCACCTCGCAGAATAGTGAGCTGTGACCTACAACAACCACGACAAACTTAAAATGAGTGCATAGAGGAGCTGAAAGACTAAAGAGAAGTTCGAAAATTTGTTCAGTGGGTAGTGGGACACCGCGTGCACACTCAGATCACAGTACGCAAGTACACGGCTTTACGTAGGTTTCATAAGGAACGAGGGCATGATGGTACTGACAGCCACCACTTCTCGAGGAGTTTGGTGAGATTTTTCTGTTTACTTCCACCCCAGAGAATATTAGATCGAGAAAATAGCAGTAAGAGTCCAACTCAAATTCCATTTCTGAACTAGAAAGAGGCACTGAAGAGCTGAGGACTGAGCAAAAATGACGCCAGCTTATGTGATACGAGGGATGAAATATGGCTCCGCACACTCGAAGGGTGCTCCGGCAAGAGGTAGTGAAGAAGTCGAAGTGTCCCTAAATCAGGCTGCGGAGACCAAATATAGTAAGATTATATTCTGCTTTATTACTACTCAAGAGGCATCCGCAAGTAGGTGTCGCACCGTCGATGTGCTCAAGAAGCTCAAAGAAGAAGCAAAAAAAGACGACCATTAGTAGATTTGGTCTGTAAATCAACTATAGGAAAGAAAAGAACACTTGTAGCTTTGCATCGTGATACCTTTCTCTCATGATTTGCTGACCATCAGATCCTTTTGGTGAGCTATATCTTCTCGTCATTGGCATGCACAATGAAACCGACAGACACTACCAGGACACTTCATTCCCGTTCCACACCCAATGTGAGAGAGTAGAGTGAGACAGCAAGAAACCGATCTGCCCAAGGGTGCATTGAGGAATACTCACTACCCACCGAGAATACGGGCAGCTAAAACCTCTAGGCGAGGAAGATCCTAAAACTTCTAAATTGTTGCTTGAATATCCCCCTCCTTGCAAAAACTGTTCTCCTCCAACTGTGACGCATTCGAAGCAAAAAACAATTTCCAACAACTCCAAACTTTCTTGCAGTGTGGAAAGTGCCTCTTGATGATCACTCCGAGGAGCTTATATTTGAGGCTACCGCTTTGCCCCAAATACCCTGAACGAAACCTGCCGCCCTGTAAGATATTCGACCCAGCGATAGGAAAATACTCCAGAAGTTACTGCCTGCTTAGATTACAGACGACTCTCAGCGCTCTAAGGCCAAGACTTGCCTGGGCGTCTTAAGCAAAAGCAAAACTTCACCTGATGAAACTGTATAAAAACTTCCAGCGGTCGCAGGCCACATCCTGCGGGATATCCTTGCAATCGCGAAGAAACTCAATAGAAATACTAAATTAATCCTACCGTATCAGCAGTCTCAAGAAACTACCAACACTCACTTAGACACTTGGAATAAGAACAAGAAAAGGTATTTCCAAACAGCCATAGCCTGCTCACCGACATGAACCATGACCTTAGGAGCGCTTACAAGTGAAAAAGCAGCTACGAAATCGTAGAAAAGCTTGCTAATGTCTTGCTAATCCGCGATGTGTAGCTCTATCCTCCAGCAACAAAGCTAAATGGTGACGACGACGTACTCTGCAGGGAGTCCTTTGAGAGCTCCAAGGGCTTCCTTCGTTCCTGCAGTTTGAGATATACAACCCCTCCTCCTCCCACCACACCACCCAACTCCCTACGATTCTATCATCCACAAGCGCTTGTCGACATCCCTCTCGAACCAAAGTCTTACTCCTCCATTTGACGACAACGCCCCAGCCATTTCGTTTCTGTGCAAGACATGATCACGACCAGACTGTCGATCTGCACTGGCAGTGGTCACCGATTTCCTCTGTCGTTGCTAGTACGCTTTCCTGCCTGCTGGTTAGCAACTAATCTTCATCAGCCCCCCAAATCTTAGTGAGCTAAAATTATACCATCAAATACACGACGACACCTTCAATCTTTCAAACACAGTCTTTCATGCTCTCCAGGATTGTTCCTTTCCCTTGTCCCGACCTCTACTGATGGCTAACTTCCTCATCTTATCAGCCGGTCTATCGGTTGTAATCATCTCCTTCGGCAAGGCCCCAACATCTTTGCTACGTCACCTCTCGATCTTTGCCCTCCCTTGTAATAACTTCCAGGATTACTAGATCATTACAGTCAAACAACTACGGTACCAACCGACTGAATCAGCTCCACAGAGCGGGGGGGGGGGGGGGGGGGGGGGGGAAAAAAATAAATATAAAAAAAAATCGGCATCCACCCTTTTTAGAATCCCCCCCGGGGAATACCAAATTTCTGGGGGAGGGGAACTAAAATACAAAAGGGTCGCATCCTGGTACCCCCACCATCGACACATCATCTGCTTCCTGGTCCTAAACACTCACACTGTTTTTTTTTTTGTTTTGTTTTGTTTTTGTTTTCGTTATGTTTTGTTTTGTTTTGTTTTTTTTTTTGTTTTTTTGTTTTTTTATTTTGTAGTTTTTCAACCTGCGCCTCGAAACTCTCAACACAGAAGCCCAAGCTTGGGTCCCAACTGTGCCGGTTCAACTTCGAAACTGTGCATTATTTTTCTTCCCTTGGAGCCCACTTTCGGTAGGCTTTCCACGTGAAACCCAAACAACAAACCAGTGGATTTTTACATCATACCCACCCCCTCCCACTCTCTCTGTATCCTTTAACTATGAGCACTTCGAGAAGCAGTACATGTATGTGATACTTTTCTTTTGCAGGAAGGCAAAAGAAAATTACAAGGAGGGTCAATACAGAAGCAGAAAAAGAGCTGGACTAAGCAGCAGCAGCACAGGAAAACCGCTTCTTCTTCTTCTGCAACACACAGTCTGTGAGTGAGTGAATGGGTGAGTGAGTGGTAATAATGCCCCAGTGCTCTGAAGTGCCGCAACACTGTATATATATATAGTTCATGGCCTTATGGAGCATGGTGAGATGAATTACTGGGGGGGGGAGGGCTCTACCAAAGTACACCCTTGACTATATCATTCTTCGGTCTGCCTTGCCTGCCTGCGCCAAAGCTCATCACAAGAGGCAAGTGAAGCAGTTACAAAGGGTGCCTGCCCAGTTCACGAGCTTGGCTGCTTGTCAGCCTGTCTCCACCAGTGCCCCTGCAAAGACAACGGTAAAGATGCACCCCCCCCCCCCCATACACACCCAGATGGGCGTTAGTTAAGCTTTACTTTACTATACTTTATTTTCCCTTCTCTTCTCTTCCCTTCCCTCTCCCTCTGCCTGTCATTTGTTTCCGTTGCCACATTGAATTGTGAGTAATGACCAGGATCTTTATTGATTGTGCATGAAACTCGTGAAATGATAGAGAAAGACTGGCTGGCCCAGTGGAGAGATATCTAGATAATATGGCATTTTTGTGTTGTGGTGTTGTGGGTATTGATCCAAGTTGTTGCCTTAAGTGTTTTGTTGCTTGGTTTTGTGCTTTTGAGGTTCCCTTCAGGACTCAGTCTGTGCATGATTCCTGGGTTCTGTGGATACTTTTCCTCCTTTGAGTGAGGAAGGCCCTACTGGGCTTACTACTGGGTCATGGCCCTTACTGAAGGTAATGCAAATCATTAACATAAATGTAGGTATTTGTGTATCTATATGACATATTCTACCACAAAAAACGGTAATTATCTTATTTAAAAAAATATATGGAACTGATGATGATGACGATGATAATGATTTTTGTTTTGGTTGTTTGTTTTCTTTTATCTTTTTTCTTTTGTGTGTATATCATTGGCATCTCAATTGAAAGGATGAAATATTTTTGTGTACTAAAGCAATAAAAAAGAAAGTACTATTGCTTCTTTCCTGCATGTAGATTCACTTTTGAAGAAACTTTGAGAGTTTAAAAAGAATAATAAATAGATAAAAGAGAATAAATAGTGAGGACATTAAATCAAATGTAGTGTACCAGAATTATGTGTTTATGTTATAAAATTACTATCAACATCAAATTGAAACAAAAACATCTCAAATACAAATTGAATGCGTCTAATTCATTTAAAATATAATAAGTGCATATGAGTTTATAAATATATATAAAATCTTTATGTTATAGTTTTAACATTTATTATTAAAAACAAGTTTTGAATTAGAGTTTGTATAGAGATGATGTGTGTATATATATATATATAGATATAGATATATATTATCTTTATGTATTTGAAGCCACAATTTGATGTTCAACATATAATTTGATTATTGCATATGAAGAGATGTAAGGAAGTAAACTCACAAATCAACTGTGATTTAATAAATCTGAATTCTTAAAAGACAGTGTCAATATATTCAAGGGCTTACACATTACACATGCAATAATATCTTAAAAAAATAACTAAATTGAGTATTTTTATTTTTTATTTTTTTATTTCTATGTTCAAAGGTAAATGTTATTTTTTTCTAATATTTTTTCATTTTATTTTTTTACTTTATAAAATATACCTTAAATGTGTTTATAATCTCTATAGATTTTGTAATAGACTTATATAAATATAACTGATAGATCTTATAAATATATATATATATATATATATATATATATAATTGAAATTAAAAGATGCTAAAAAATCTAAAAATATAAAGAAATTATAATAAATTATACTTAGGAAATTACAATTTTATTTATTCATAAAATTTTGTAACATTTATATGTATTCAAGTATATGTAAAGTTTATACAACTGCATTATTAAATATTAATGAGTAAGATGTAACTTATGTTTTTAGTTTTTTCTCTTGAAATTTATGAAAATACATGTTAATCATAAAATTTGGCCACCAAAGTAATCCTAATTGCTATAACAACCAATTTATTCCCATAGCATTTTAAATATAGTACATATAAGAAATTCAATTGATAAAAGTTTTAAACATTTAATATACTAAAACTTTATATTTTTTATGTATTTACTAAAAAATAAAAATTATAAAACTTATAAACTTATATGTTTCTAATAAACATAAGTTTAAACCTTAATACATTTTTAAACATTTAATACTTATAATTTTGTTTTTTAATAAATAATTAATTAATTAATTCAAAATTATTATTTAATTTTTTTTATGGTTTTCAAAAGTTAACTGATGTATTTATATAAAAAAATTTATAGTCTCTTAAGAATAAATCAAAGTTATACAAAAATATATCATATTTAAGAAGAGTGCATTGTTTTTGTTTATATAAGTTTAATTGGTTTTATGGAACATTTTATTTAAATAGATCTTATAGAGATTTTCTTTGAAATACTTAATAGGTCGTGTGGTTATTCTGTAAATGTATTTTTTTTAAAACCTCTGTAAACATCTATAAATATCCATTGTTAATTTTTTTTAAATGGGATAACTTAAAAAGTTGTTATAAGAAATTTATACACAATATAAAAAATGTAAGAGAAACAAATATTTTTGTACGTTTTCATAAAATTAGTAAGAATATTTCTTTTGTAATAGTCTTATTTTGAACTTTTGATATTTAAAAATACTTTTGAATGTTAACTTTTATAATTGTAGTGGCAAAACTAAACACCTCTATGATATTTTATTATTGAAATTTTATCTCAATTTATTGATCTTTAACATATTTAAAAAAATATTTGATATATCATCTAAATGAATATAATGAAATACATCAAAATATAATTTTTCGTTATTTAATGAATAAGAACATATATATATATATATATATACAAAATAATCCAAATACTTGGATTTTATGTATATACGTCAGTTTATCAACAAAAATCATAATTTCTAAAAACCTTTATTATCTCAACTTCTTTATATGATTTATTTTTAGTTTTTTACTGAATAATAATCCATGTAAAAATGAAATATAAAGAAAGATATTTATCAACTTCAAATCAGAATATTAAAATTATAAAAGTTATAAAAAGGAAACGTAATTTTCATTGTTGATAGAATATTTCAATAAAGTTGGTACAATATTTTCAAACATAATGTTTTCACATCAATTCAACTATGAATTTATTTCTGTTATCTGAAGAAAGTTATCTTTTTATTTTATTTTATTTTTTTATTTTTTTTATTCTTTTTACATTCTGATTTCTAATAACTGGCACTATTAAAAAAAATTATAAGAAAAATTTGAAATGTTTAACATACCAAATTTCCAAGTCCAGAAATTAAACAAAAAAGATAAAAGAAAAAGAAGAAAATATTAAGTTAAATAATTATTTTCTTAACTACTATATATATATATATATATATATATATAAATATAGGGGACTGTTGAATAGACCCATGCTTTTACTAAATAGACCGACTCTTGATGGTAATCATGATGAATGTGGTCGGTTTTTGTTGTTTGCAGATCTAATAATAGAGAAACAAATCCAAAAATCATTTTTATCAATATGGCTAGTATGGGTAAGTTGACTTGGTAAAAACTTGGGTCTATGTAACATTTCTCTAAAATATATATATATATATATATATATATATAAAAATCTTTTAAAGAATAATTTATAAATACTAAATAGAAAAATTATTTATTATTAGAAAATAAAATATAACTTAATAAATATATACAAAAATAATTTTTATATAATAAAATTGATTTAAAAATAAATTGAAAATATAAAATAAAAAATCTTTTATCAATATCAAATCAACTATTATTACCTCTTTAATTTGTGTATTTAAAAATAATAAAAAAATCAGTTTCTAATTTTTTAGAATTACAAGTAATAGAAATAATTATTGATTAATCAATTAAAGGATACTTAAATATATTTAGTAATTTTAAATAATAATAAAGTAAAATTCAATTTAAATACTTCACTAAAAATATCCAATTATCATGAAACTCTTTAAAAACAAATATACTAAAAAAATTTATAAACAACTTAAATATAGTTGAAATTGCTAGTTCTTTTGAGTGCAAAAAAATAATATATATACATACATATATATATATATATATATATATATATATAAATTGAAATTCTTTGAAGAACCTCTCTCTTTTCTTCTTAATTGCCTAAAACATAATTTAAGTAGATTTTACATAGGATTTAATCATATCAAAATCCTATGTAAACCACAAGATTTAATCAAATATTATATCTGATAACTTTCTTTTAAATTCCTAATAGAAACTTAAAAGCTATCAT